CAATGGTCTTCTCGCCGGCGACGGCGGGCTGGGCGGCCTCGACGTCGACGTCGCCACCGGCGACACCCTCGGCGCGGCGCGCGGCGAGCTGCTCGGGCGTCAGGCGGCCGGCGTAGAAGTTGCGGATGGGACCCTGGAAGTTGGCGGGCGCGGGAGGCACCTCGCCGCGGCGGAGAAGGAAGGGTCCCTTGAACACGTGATACCACTTCATCTCCCAATCCTCGCGGATGACGACACGGTACAGCCAGGGGCACAGGAAGGTGGCGATCAGGAGACCCCAGGCGCTGCCGGCGGCGACAATGACACCGGGAATCTCCTGCTCGGTGAGGTTGACCTCGTACGAGCCACCCTTCCAGATGAGCAGCATGGCAATGAGCATGCCGGTGATGGCAAAGTAGATGGGCACGACAAAGAGGCCCTTCATGGCCGGGTTCGTCCTCAGCAGCACAGCGTACTTGGTGATGGAGAAGATGATGGCACCGAAGATGGCGGACAGGCAGGGGGCGATGATCCAAGCCATGAAGACCTGGACGACACCAGTGCTGATGACGTTCGTGCCGCCGCCGGAGCCGACCCAGAGGATGTTCTTCGCACCGACGCTGGCGACGCCCATGCCGATGACACCGCCGAGGATGGAGTGGGTGGTGGAGACGGGGAAGCCGACCTTGGTGGCGAAGGTCAGGTAGAGGGAAGAGGCGACGACGGCGCAGACCATGCCCAGCATGAGGACGGCGGGGTCATCGTTGTACTGCTCCGTGTCGACAATCTTGGTGCGGATCGTGTCGGCCACGCGAGCACCGACACCCATGGCGCCGGCAAACTCCATGACGGAAGCGGCGCACATGGCGTAGAGGTAGGAGATGGACCGGGAGGCGACGGACGTCGCCCATGAGTTGGCAACATCGTTGGCACCTGGACAGGATTAGCATGAGCAGACCGTAGTGGCAGGGAGACACCAGAAAAGCATACCAATGTTCCACGCATCGAGGAAAGCAAAAATGGTGCCAAAGGCAAAAAGGTAGTCGTACTGAGGAAGGGCAGCCATGGCGATGGTTGTCGTCGTCCGAAGACGGTGGCTGAGGGAAGAGAGAAAGGATGTTTGTTGTAAGACGGAGACGGAGACTGAGGACCACGAGAGAAAGGGGGGGAAGAGCGAGGGACAAGCGAGAAATTATATATCAAGGCGCACCATTGTGGGTAGATCCATTTTCCTCGTGCTGTGAGCTTTTCCTAGAGTCTTGGCTTGAGAAGGTGGCGGCGAAGGTGAGGGCGAGTTTGCGTGGTGGGGAGCCCAAAGGCTGCGAAGCAGGTAGACCGCCCGGCCGGGTGTCGTGTGGGTGTGGCTCCAGCAAAGTTGGGCGGTGGCCGATGTGACCTCTGCAGTTCCAAGCTACTTCTTTACTCCCCATGAGCAAAGCTCCTGCGGGTTCTTCGCCCGAGTGGGAAAAGCAAGATCTTCAACAAGCGGACGAGATGGGCGCCGACAGTCGAGGCGTTCTTGGTATGTGGGGGGGGGGGGGAGGTGGCCTCCTCCAAGGCCAGAGGGGTGTGCATCCAGGCATTGGCTGCCAAGTGCCCTGGCGTACTTTGGATTGAGCCGAATGGATGGTGGTCGGGGACAGTCGACCAAACCGGGCCTGGTTGCCAAGAGCCGTTCGTCTCGTACGCCAGGGAACATGACAAGGTGGTGCTCTGTTTTGTACTGTCTACAGTAGGGAGTCTCCAGGATCAACCGATTATCGTGGCGACATGGAGGTCACAGAATGAGCAACCAGGGAAATCGATCGCCGGGCCCTGAGGCCGAGGCGAGACGCTGGCAACCGTGGTGATCAGCATGCGCTTGAATGACCGTGGCGGCACTTTGCACAGCACGACAGGTCCCGTCTCAACCTGAGTGGCCCGGACGAGTCAGCGCCGCCCCCGTCATTGACAGGCACAAAGAGAGCTGGGACGACGTCAAGGTAAAGGTTAATAAAGAAGCTTATTGTGCCTGGCGCAGCGATCAAACAAGAATTGGCCGACATTACGACGCTGGTGATCTATATTTATGAGGATGGCCTCAACTTGAAGGTGCCAAGAGTTACAGTCGAAGGGGAAAAAACAATTCTCGAGATGGCTCTCAGCCAGTCAAGCCGATGGCCAAAGTGCGATGGAAAAGCCGATCATCCTGTTTCGTGCCAGGAACAATACCTTGATGCTAAGGTGTACATGGTACGTGGTGGAGTTGCGTTGGCATGGATGGCGGCTCCCAATGCCACTGGTCGCTCTCTCGGCCAGCGTCGCCCACACGCACGATCAACCCATATGCATCCGAATCATTAAGCTTATCCCCGTAAGATGCCCCCCCCCTGGTCTTCTCCTCGTTGACTGGTCGCTCCGCCTGGCGTGTCGATTCGGCCACAGCGAAGCGGCTCCACGCTGGGTGAGTCTGTCTGAAACCGAATCGCAACCGTCGATGAGTTGATGAAAACAAATCAACAGCACCGATCGTCCCTCGTTATTCCGAGGCATGAAGTTGGATGTGTCGCGTGAGCACTTGCCTGATGTGCGCTGCCACCGATGTGCTCTCTCCCCTCCCTGCCAGCCCTGCTCGCCTTGGAGGGAGCATGAGGATCTCTTGGCCCCGAGAGGCTAGGACTCTGACCCGCAGGCGCGCATGCAGAAGAGACTTGGGACATCGAAGAAGGGGGCGTGTGCGTAGAGAGAGGCATGTGAATCGAAATCAGGTCATCTTGA